TTACGGATGTCCACAGACACGGATAGAGGCTCGGGACTGGAATCCCAGGAGGTAAGAAGAACTCCTAAAGAATATAACAAAGCGAGGAGCCAGAGAATGGAGAGCGCGGTCATTTCATCGGAGGATGAGGAAGTCGGTAAGGACTTTGCACCACAGGATCTGAGGATCATGGAAGCTACCAATGTCGATTCATTGGGCTTGGACTGTCTCGCAAATGTAGAGCGCATGCGCGCCAAAAGTAAAAATCTGCAAGGCGGTATAAGCGGAAAAATGAGGCGTGATTTGGAAAAGGCCAAGGAAGTGATGAACGCTCTAATATATAAATCCGAGGCGACAGGCGACCCAACGTTTTTGAGGATAAAGAACAAAGAGCTTACAGTACAGATGGAGAAGCTCAAATTAGAAGAAGTCCTTAGAAACAGGGAGATGGAGGAGATGAGGTGCATGATGGAGGCACTTAGGAAAGAAGTAGCGAAACTCAGGGATAAGTTGGACGACGCCGAGGAAGATAGAAGGAAGGCCAGGGAGAGTTTGAAGATCACGGAATGGAAGATGAGGAAAAAGGGAATTGAGCCCTCCGAAATGATTGACAAAGAAACCCTAATTGACGAGGACTTACCTTTGACGAATACCTCACAGGAAGAGAATCCAACAATGAGCTGCCAGGACCTGATGATTGGAAATCCTAGATCTACAACGACTGCGGTATCTGTAAAGAAAAAAGATATTTAATAAAGGGAAGATTAGGGTTATGGGGTTCCATCTTTTTTGCCATTTTTTATTACGGAAATCGAAAATTGGTCACGCGAAACGGATTCTGGCGTTTGTTTCGCGTCGATATCTATCTCCGTTCCTTAGTTATAGGGGTGCAAAGCGCCCCTTGCTATTTTGGGTCCGTAACTCGAACAAGACTGACCCCTGTGGAACCCCGCAGTACATCCCCCTTCCGCACAGGACTACACGGTTATCCGTGTACTCCAGCTGCCTGTCCCGGAAGTAAGCTTCCAGGATCCCCACCAAGTAGCGGGGGACGCCAAAGTTGATGGCGGCCTCCCTCACCCTGTTCCAGGGCAGGGTGTTAAACGCGTTGCGGATATCAAGAAATACCGCAACGACCACCCTGTCCTCCTCCATGATGGACTCCGCGAGGGATCTGACGCGGAAGATCGCATCAATTGTTGATCTTCCCTCGCGGAATCCAAATTGATCCTGGTGGAGATCCACTCCCTCCTATAGGGGTGCAAAGCGCCCCTTGCTATTTTGGGTCCGTAACTCGAAAACCGTTGACGCGGCAGGATTGACACCCAAGGGACATCGATCGGTCTCGCGAAGGGCTACAACTTTGGTCCTGTACTCCACCCCCCTAGGACCCACCCTTTGGGCCCTGTATACCAGGTCCAAAGGGGTGAAAATTTTTTATAACGGAAATCGAAAATTGATTACGCGAAACGGATTCTGGCGTTGGTCTCGCGTCGATATCTATCTGTTTCTTAGTTATAGGGGTGCAAAGCACCCTTGCTATTTTGGGTCCATAACTCGAAAACCGTTGACGTGGCAGGATTGGCACCCGAAGGACATCGATCGGTCTTGCGAAGGGCTACAACTTTAGTCCTGTACTCCACCCCCCTAGGACCCACTCTTTGGGCCCTGTATACTTGGTCCGAAAGGGTGAAAAAAAATTTTTTTGTCATAGAAATGGGAGGGTAATTGTTCGAAACGGATTTTGCCGCAAGTCCCGTATCGATATCGGTCTCCGTTCCTTAGTTATAGGGGCGTATAGCGTCCTTTGGTATTTTGGGTCCGTAATTCGAAAACCGTTGACGGGGGAGGGTTGTCTCCCGAGAGACATCGATCGGTCTCGCGAAGGGCTACAATTTTGGTCCTCTAGCCCATCCGCCTAGGATCCACCCTTTGGGCCCTGTATACTTGAAGTCGGGTGTAGAAATTTACAAGTCTCAAGGGGTGATACGGGATGCGAAATATCGACTAAAATTTGACTACTCCAATCGGTAGAGAATTGAGAAATATTGGATGATTGCATAAGTTCGTGCCCGATTTTCATAGATGGCATTAAGTTACTGCATGGCGGAGTTCTATTGTTTTCGTGTGGTAATTGTTCCGTATTATACATCAAGTAATACTCGTCGATTCGTTAACGATACACAGGTATTCACTTGCTTAAAGTTTGATGGGGGTGAAAGGGTTAATTTCGCTTTTTAAACACGTAATACTTACTACTATATCGCTAGTCAAAGCTCAACGCTGACAGAAACGTAACGGTGCGGACGTATATCAATTTCGCGTTTCCATATGTGGATAACGATGTTATATATTGTCTCGTTTGGCTCTAACGATGATAAGAGGATATTAATAAAAATTGTTTGCAAATTTTTCAGACGTTCCGGAGGAAGCTAAGCCCAGTGGCGCAGAAGCGTTAGCTTCCAAGGGACAGACCAAGCTCGACAAGTTTATAAATATAGAAAAAGTATCAGGCTCGAAAGAGGTAAGGTTTAGGGCCCGAGCACAGACTTTTGCATAAGCGCGCATAATCATAAGCATAAGGAAATTGATTGGTCGGTTCTTTACGCATATGTATTTATGGACCGATCAATTTCCTTACGCTTACGATTATGCGCTTATGCAAAAGTCTGTGCTCGGGCCCTTACATTAAAGTAAAGAAATGCATGTACGGCGTAAAAAACCCTGTTTTGAAAAAATGGATAAAATTCTTTAACCGATCGCTTCATTGTTTTGTTGCAGAATCCTGGCAGGAGTCTGCGTGGACTAACGTTTTTCATTACTGGAGTGATGGAGTACATGTCCAGAGCAGAAGTCTGTAAATTAATAACAGACACCGTGGTGGGCGCACCGTTTGCAAGCTTTCTCGGAGGGTGCATTATATCGTTGTTGGCGGCAAGGCAGCAGGACAAACGAAATTGAAGAAGGTACATCTATCTCGTTATAGACATTTATACGTTTGCCATATACTTATCATTTCTCATTGAAAATAATATCTTTCTTTTCAGGCGAATGCATTAGGAGTAAGGAGGCTCTCCCAATTTAGTTTGATCGAGATGATAAAAACAGGAGGCAGAGCAATATCGTCGGATCAAACAAAAAAATCTATCGCTTGTTTGGAGAAGCGGAGGGGTGGAAGAGGTAAGCTTATTTATATTATTATTTTTATTATTGTTGTAATCATTAACAATTTGTTGAATTCCCTGATTAATCTTACTTTTTTTTTTAAATCAACAAATATTTCTCTCCGATTCTGATGAAGAGAAAGAGAAGAACGAGACACCGAGACAAACGACAAAAGAGAAAAGGGTAAGCTTTCATATTTATTAAATTAAATCTATACACAAATAATAAGATTAGATAAAAATGTATTTTAATTTTTTGATTTAGGCAAGTAGCGGCTCGCCGACCATTTCTCAAGTAATTTCATTACCGTTAATTTCACCAAGCGACAGAAATTGGCGCGAGGTAATAAGCTGCTTGTAGGTATAAACTTGTATATTAATGATATAATTATTATAAATTTTCATTTTTTTTAGCAACTCGCAGCCCGGCGAGGGGACGACCACGACCGCAAGGAGGACGAGGCGAAGGGAAGCACATTGGGGCGGCACCGCCTCCCGGTCAGGAAGACGAGGATGGTGGCGAGGGGACAACGGGTGACGAAGGACACAAGGAGGAGGAGGAGGAGCAGGAGGAGCAGGAGGACCGCGAGACGGCGCCCTCAAAAACCTGAGGTAAGCTGTTTTAATATATAAACTTTTGTTTATTAACGATACACTTATTAATTCTTATTTTTTTTAGCGACTCGCAGCGGCGGTATAAAAAGCGGCAAAGATTTTCTTTTTTTTTGTATATTTTCTAACAATAAGTTTTACTACACTGCTGGTGGTCCCGGACAACATCGATTACATCCTTCTCTGAAACTAACTAAAAGATATTACCCACATGTGCGTAACAGGTATGGTTTCTTCGTAGTTTATGAGAAAACACACACACACACACACACACATATATATAATGATGTAATTTATATTTTCAGGATTTAATAAATAGAGATGTCGTCCTAACGTTGTTATTGCCCACTAGCCTACAATTTGGAACTGTTGGTGTCACGAACTGCTGCTGCTGGTGGTCCTAGATTTTCTTCGTTTATGAGAAAACACATACACACAATGATGTCGAATTTATATTTTCAGGATTTAATAAATAGAGATGTCGTCCTAACGTTGTTATTGCCCACTAGCCTACAATTTGGAAATGTTGGTGTCACGAGCTGCTGCTGGTGGTGGTCCTAGACAACATCGATTACATCCTTCTCTGAAACCAAGAGATATTACCCACATGTGCGTAACAGGTATGGTTTCTTCGTAGTTTATGAGAAAACACACACACACACACACATATATATAATGATGTCGAATTTATATTTTCAGGATTTAATAAATAGAGATGTCGTCCTAACGTTGTTATTGCCCACTAGCCTACAATTTGGAACTGTTGGTGTCACGAACTGCTGCTGCTGGTGGTCCTAGACAACATCGATTACATCCTTCTCTGAAACTAAGAGATATTACCCACATGTGCGTAACAGGTATGGTTTCTTCGTAGTTTATGAGAAAACACACACACGCACATATATAATGATGTCGAATTTATATTTTCAGGATTTAATAAATAGAGATGTCGTCCTAAGTTATTGCCCACTGGCCTACAATTTGGAACTGCTGCTGGTGTCACGAGCTGGACCCAGACAACATCGATTACATCCTTCTCTGAAACTAACCAAGAGATATTACCCACATGTGCGTAACAGGTATGGTTTCTTCGTAGTTTATGAGAAAACACACACACACACACACATAATGATGTCGAATTTATATTTTCAGGCTTTTAATAAATAGAGATGTCATCGTAACGTTAAGTTATTGCCCACTGGCCAATTTGGAACTGCTGGTGTCACGAGCTGGTGGTCCCAAACAACATCGATTACATTCTTCTCTGAAACTAACTAAGAGATATTACCCACATGTGCGTAACATGTATGGTTTGTTGGTAGTAAAATTAAAAAACTTATTCAATATTATTTCAAAGACACACGAGACAACAAGACTGATTCACATTTTAATCAATTTACACAATTTTGTTTACAATCAGATTATTATATTGTTATCATTATTACACGATATGTATTACTTTGCTACATTTATATACTGCCTGTGCAATATTTTATAATTCAGATATAAAATGTATATTATTTTTGTTAAGTAATTAGCGAAATAAGATAGAAACCTGTTCTATTATACTCTATAATATTATTATTATTACACGATATATATTATATTAGTTTGTTACATCAATATACTGCCTGTGCAATATTTTATAACTAAGATATCGTATGCATATTTCTTTTGTTAAATAATTAGCGAAATAAGATAGAAACCCGTTCTATTGTAATATTCTATAGAGAAATTATTTATCTTAAATATTATCATTTATGCATAAAATGAGAAAATTGTGTTTGTTCAGCAATTTTATTAAATATCATTAGTGAGAACAAAATAATTTTTAATTGTTTTTTACAAGGTCCCTTCACATTACAGAGAGCGTTGTTGCTGGCTGCGCGATACATTGCTCGTTAATGTTCGTTCGGAAACTGATGATATTATCGTACTTACTCGACTCGTGCTCGATTCTATCGGAATTCTTGGTAGTAAAATTAAAAAACTTATTCAATATTATTCAAAAGACACACGAGACAACAAGACTGATTCACATTTTAATCAATTTACACAATTTTGTTTAGAATCAGATTATAATATTGTTATCATTATTACACGATATGTATTACTTTGCTACATTTATATACTGCCTGTGCAATATTTTATAATTCAGATATAAAATGTATATTATTTTTGTTAAGTAATTAGCGAAATAAGATAGAAACCTGTTCTATTATACTCTATAATATTATTATTATTACACGATATATATTATATTAGTTTGTTACAATTATATACTGCCTGTGCAATATTTTATAACTAAGATATCGTATGCATATTTCTTTTGTTAAATAATTAGCGAAATAAGATAGAAACCCGTTCTATTTCGCTTGGTATCATATAATCGACGGGAAGATTTATCCTAGAAAGAGTCTGCGTGGACTAACATTCTTCGTGAGTGGGGTGATGGAACACATGTCGAGAGCAGAGCTAACGAAACTAATAAACGACAATGGTAGCCGCGCGGTATGCAAGATATCTCGCAGGGTTAATTATATCGTGGTTGGCGGCAAGGCAGGACAAATGAAATTAAAAAAGGTACATTTATTCGGTTACGGATACTTATCATTTCTTACTTATTTCTCGTTCAAAATAATATCGTTATTTTGAGGCCAATGCATTAGGCGCATTAGGCCCTGCGCACAATAGAGAAAATATTAAATATCAGGAGGAGTAATTTGGAATTATTTTACTTCAAACACGGAAACGGAATGAATTAATTATTTCTAATCTTGATTTTTTTATTTCATTATGCGTTAATCCATTCTGTTCTCTCGTTCCAAGTAAAATAATTCCAAATTGCTCCTTCTGATATTTAATATTTTATTCCTATCTCTAATATTTTCTCTATTGCGCGCAGGGCCTTAGGAGGCTGTTATTTAATAAATAGAGATGTCAATCTTGACCCGATAGAAAAAAAATTCCTTTTTTTTTCTTTCGTATATATATTTTGTAAGTTTTTATTACTACAATTTGGAACTGTTGGTGTCACGAGCTGCTCCCAGACAACATCGATTACTATCCTTCTCTGAAACTAACTAAGTCCCGATTCCACAACTTACTTTAACCGGAGTTTAACTCGTTAACGGAGGATTCACATTGCATCCGATGTACAATGTACGATGTCCGATTGGATACATCGGAGGACATCAGACGTAATGTGAATTCTCCATTAACGAGTTAAACTTCGGTTAAAGTAAGTTGTGGAACTGGGCCTAAGAGATATTACCCACATGTGCGTAACAGGTATGGTTTCTTCGTTGTTTATGAGAAAACACACACACACACATATAATGAGGTCGAATTTATATTTTCAGACTTTAATAAATAGAGATGTCGTCGTAACGTTAAGTTATTGCCCACTGGCCTACAATTTGGAACTGCTGCTGGTGTCACGAGCTGGTCCCAGACAACATCAATTACATCCTTCTCTGAAACTAACTAAGAGATATTACCCACATGTGCGTAACAGGTATGGTTTCTTCGTTGTTTATGAGAAAACACACACACACACATATAATGAGGTCGAATTTATATTTTCAGACTTTAATAAATAGAGATGTCGTCGTAACGTTAAGTTATTGCCCACTGGCCTACAATTTGGAACTGCTGCTGGTGTCACGAGCTGGTCCCAGACAACATCAATTACATCCTTCTCTGAAACTAACTAAGAGATATTACCCACATGTGCGTAACAGGTATGGTTTCTTCGTTGTTTATGAGAAAACACACACACACACATATAATGAGGTCGAATTTATATTTTCAGACTTTAATAAATAGAGATGTCGTCGTAACGTTAAGTTATTGCCCACTGGCCTACAATTTGGAACTGCTGCTGGTGTCACGAGCTGGTCCCAGACAACATCAATTACATCCTTCTCTGAAACTAACTAAGAGATATTACCCACATGTGCGTAACAGGTATGGTTTCTTCGTTGTTTATGAGAAAACACACACACACACATATAATGAGGTCGAATTTATATTTTCAGACTTTAATAAATAGAGATGTCGTCGTAACGTTAAGTTATTGCCCACTGGCCTACAATTTGGAACTGCTGCTGGTGTCACGAGCTGGTCCCAGACAACATCAATTACATCCTTCTCTGAAACTAACTAAGAGATATTACCCACATGTGCGTAACAGGTATGGTTTCTTCCATTAGTGAGAACAAAATAATTTTTAATTGTTTTTTACAAGGTCCCTTCACATTACAGAGAGAGAGAGAGTTGTCGCTGGTTGCGCGATACATTGCTCGTTAATGTTCGTTCGGATACTGGTGGTATTATTATCGTGTATTCGATTCGTGCTCGATTCTATCGGAAGAAAATGGGTGGATTATTGATTATGCTCTTAAGAAGCGTAACTTATTCCTAATCAAAACGATACAAACAAAGACACGTTTGATTCATATTTTAATCAATTTACAGAATTTTGTTTGCAATCAGATTATAACATTGTTATTATTATTACACGATATATATTATGATCCTTTCTCGCAAAGTCTCTTCACTTCATCTCTAATAATTAAGCAAAGATTATTTGTGCGATTATCATGATATTAGTCGTATATAATAAAACATATCGTACTCACCATCTATTTCAGTTGATTAATTGATTGATTAACTAATTAATTAATTAATCAATTAAAGTAGGTAATTACGGAATACTCGGTTAATGCTGGCAGGCAGAGAAACATAATAGGTAGGTTAATTATTAATATATATCAAAAATTAGTTATTCTCGCATGTGCTTTAAATATATTGTAAAAGTATATAAGGAAGAAATGGAAGGATTATAGTAAGGGCTGTAGCGGACCTACGGAGAGACCCGCGGTCCGGGCCCAAGGGTGCCCACCTCGGGGGTTTCGTCTTGGCACACGGGATATGGATGTGGATTAATAAAAATATTCGTGTTTCGCCAAAGTGAAAATCCAGAAAAAAGAGGCATCAATTATATTTTTGATGCCTCTATAAGACAAGTTTTAAATTTAAGTTTTTTCGCATGTGCTTTATCGTAAGGTAGGAATATATAAGGAAGAATCGAAAGAATGACATTAAGGGGCTGTGGTGGAGGTGAGGTAGCCCAGGCCCCGATGTATCCCACAATTCGTCCTTGTATCCCCGCAATCATTGGATTAATGAATGGTTTGAATGCATTAGTCCAATGATTGCGGGAACGGAAGGGTCCACATAGGGGGGATACTTTTTTGGTATCCTCCTTGGACAAAGTGAAATCGTAAAAATAGGCAACGTAAGTTAAGATACTCATCACTTATATATGTATACTGTGACGTTGCCGTCTCGCGCGCGTCCGCCGAGTCCCTCTCCGATCGAAAAAGCGCGGGCTGAAGGGCCGCGCCAGTCGAATCATTGCGAGAACCGTACCGTTACCTCCAGAGAGGCGTCATTAATGGAGATTTCGAGCGTAATGTTAATTTCGTTTGTGATTTTCTTTCGTATGAATAATTCATTTGGGAGCCTCATCGGAAGAAGAAGCGGAAAGTCGCTGAAGCGTCACGGAAAATACGATCGCCAATCAAGGAAGACCTTGGAGGGGCAAGGAGCCAGCAATTTGGAAATCCAAAACATCTAACGGCCAAACTAGCTACGTCACGACGGGATCAGGAACCGCACACGTGATGCGCAACGCACGGGACAGCGAGAGGATCCTCGCGCAAGGACACAGGCCCATGCGGATCCGGTCCCCGAGGAGGGACTGCAATTCTGCACCCGATGGCGTGACGCGGTCCCGGAAAAGACGGAAGGAAGGGTGGCAGCGATACTTCCGGCCAAACCGTTCACCTCAGACCCCGCGACGGCCCCGCGAAAAGAGCCCCAGCGAATTATTGTTTGTAATACCGGGGGCGCGCGCACCCCCGTTACGACCGTGAGCGCGCCGCCCGCCGGCCACAGCGCGTGATAACGCTTTTGGTTGTTTGTCTATTTGATTAATTGATTAATTAATTAATTAATTAATTAATTAAAGTAGGTAATTACGGAACACCCGGTTAACGCTGGTAGGCAGAGAAACATAATAGGTAGGTTAATTATTAATATATATCAAAAATTAGTTATTCTCGCATGTGCTTGTAATGTAAGCTATAAGTATATAAGGAAGAATCGAAAGAATGACATTAAGGGGCTGTGGTGGACAGGAGGTAGTCCAGGCCCCGATGTATCCCACAATGGGTCCTTGTATCCCCGCAATCATTGGATTAATGAATGGTTTGAATGCATTAGTTTAATGGTTGCGGGTACGGAAGGGTCCACATAGGGGGGATACTTTTTTGGTATCCCCCTTGGACAAAAGTGGAATTGTAAAAAATAGGCAACGTAGGTTAAGGTGTATACATACTCTGATTGTTTTTCTATTTGATTCATTAGTTAATTAATTAATTAAATTAAATTAATTAATTGGTTGATTAATTGAAAATAAATTAGTTTAGGTGAATGTTAGCAGGCAGAGAAACATAATAGGTAGGTTAATTATTAATATATATCAAAAATTAGTTATTCTCGCATGTGCTTTATCGTGAGGTAGGAATATATAAGGAAGAATTGGAAGAGTTATAGTAAGGGCTGTAGCGGACTGATGGCGAGACCCACGGTCCGGGCCCAGGGGTGCCCACCTCGGGGGGTTTGTCTCGCCGCAAGTGATGCAGGTGGGGATTATTGAAAGCATTTGCATCGCTTGCGGTGAAGTGAAAATCCAGAAAAAGAGGCACTAATTTTTTGGTGTCTTTTTAGGATAAAATAGTAATTAGTTACAATTAGTTAGTAAGATAGATAGTCATAAGGTGTAGCGTAATATATACTATCAGTTTCTGCGATGAAAATGAAATACTTGCGTGCGCAGGCGCGACGCGCATGCGCGGTGCGGTGCGCGCGCATGATATCCAGAATCACCCAGTTTGTGAGTAATTTGACTATAATTATAGGATAGTAGTTTTAGATAAGGTAATTGGATAAATTTAAGTAACTATTAATATTAATCTTATTAATTTTAGGTAGACTCTTAGTTTATAACATAAATATAAGGTAGACTCTTGGTGTATAAGATAAATATAAGGTTAGTATTATCATTTTAAAGGTAGAATCTTAACACTGGAATAGAACATATAAGGTAGAATTCATTGGAATAATATTAGGGGCTATGGTGGTCCCACAGATTGGGTGTCACGTCGGTGACTCTTGTTAGGGTCCGCGGTTTGCGCCCCGGTGCAGCCCGTTCTGGAGTTGCCTTGTGTCGCAATCATTCAAATATATTTTTCAATCACTTGTTAATTATTAAATGTGTTAAAATTAAAATGCAAATGACAAGTCCTTATCAACGATGTGCGCGCTGAGAGTAATGTAGGCGTGCGCATGCGCACGTTCCGCGCGCATCCACACGCGTATGCGTTTCGCTTACTTTTTCCTAGAGTGCACGAAATTGAAATTCAAAATGTATAAGATAGTATGCGATTGAAACCTACGATTATTAGGCGTAGAAGATTGACAATTTGTTTGAAATCGAAATTTGCAACGTGGTGTATCGCAATAAAAATTGGGTTTGTGTTAGATTATATCTTCCGCAAGTGGAGCCCCCTCTGCGGGAAAGCGGGCTCCGCCCCTCTTTCCGACTGATAAAACTACTGCAGTTTATTCGATAAATATAAATTTTTTGAATAGCTAAATCTTCTTTGCATTGGATTATGGGTAATTGGAGCTCGTGATTTAACTTTGCGATAACTTTACAGAGTACGTGGTCGAGCGAGCACTATCTTTTGGCTCATTGTACGTCCGGCTATCGGAACATATGGACTTGCATAAAGGTACGGAGACACAGTCCAAGACACATGGAAATGCGGTGTTATAGTGTTTTCGAATGAACGGGTTAATTCAAACCCGATGAATTAATCAATATATTTTAATATGAATTCAAGCCTTTTATTGGCAGAGACGACGCAACGATGTCATTAATCGCTCTCAGAGCTATTAACCCGCTACATTAGAAAACGCTATAAGACACATGGAAACGCGGTGTTAGTCATGATACGAGACAGGTAGAGTGTCGATGTATCGATGTGTTTCGGAACGCGGTACACTTGCGTCGATGTCCCGCGTCCCGCGCCACTTTGCGCAACGGAAGTGTTAATCGCGCGTAGTACGCGGTGTTCTATCGTGTCGGGAAGTGTCGAACGCTGTTGACGGCACTGAAGCGACATTCCGGGTCGGAAATAAGTACCCCAAGGATCGTTCAATTGCTTCGAATAGCGGGCGCGTTGTCCGCTAACAGGAGGTTAAAAGTCTTTTGGTTAACAAGTGACAGAAAGACGCTTAAGTGTTACCGTTGCGCTGTGTTTCCATCAATGTTGGCTTATGGCAGAGTCTTGTACGCTGTTGAGGACGATGAGACGTCGCCATGGGTCAGATGTTAGAGTACTTATGGAGACGTTTCATCGCTTTTAATGGCGAGCATGTTGCCCGCGGGAGGGTCCCGTTAGCGCACGGTGCGATAGCCCACATCCCGATAGCACACAAATAATTTAACTTAATTCCCGATAGCCCACATGTTTTTTGCACACGTCCCGATAGCGCACAAAGTAAATGGCGCATCATCCCGATAGCGCACAAAGTAAGTTGCGCATCATCCCGATAGCGCACAAAGAAAATTGCGCATCATCCCGATAGCGCACAAAGTAAAACGCGCATTATCCCAATAGCACACAATAAAAAAAACACATTGTCCCGATAACGCACATTATTTTAATTCTTTTTTCTCGATAGCCCACGTCCCGATAGCACACGTCGCCGTGTGTTATTGGGACGTGTGCTAACGAGAAAATATGCATTTCTGTTCCCGATAGCGCACGTCGCCGTGTGCTATTGGGGCGTGTGCTAAAGAGAAAATGATAGCGCACATCTTCGTGTGCTAACAAGAAAATATGCGTTCTTTTTCCCGATAGCGCACGTCGCCGTGTGCTAACGGGACGTGTGCTAAAGAGAAAATATGCGTTTCTTTCCCGATAGCGCACATCTTCGTGTGCTAACGAGAAAATAAGCGTTTCTTTCCCGATAGCGCACATCTTCGTGTGCTAACGAGAAAATATGCGTTTCTTTTCCCGATAGCGCACGTCGCCGTGTGCTAACGGGA